TTTATATATATATAAATTTTTATAAGTAAAGGTTCTTTAACTTATGTAGCCAAAAATAATTTTTAACTTCTTGTACAATATTCGTTAAATAATATCTCAAGTTTATAACATTTCCTGTAATTATATATCATGTACAATACGTTTTTTGACAGTTTAATTTCCACAACTCCAATCTTTTTTTCAATTTTTCCAATTTTTAATTAATATGCAATAAAAATAAAATTTTATTATTTTTGTTTCGTTAATTTAGTCATTGCAATGATAATGTAATTACTCAGATACAACAAAATTTACAGTATTTTTAAATTTATATATGTATCCTGTACGGAATTATATATATAATTAGATATATATAAAGATAATATATACCTTTAATATATATCTCTCTGAAATAAATGACAAAAATATATACGCATATTTAAATTAAGCATACAAAAGCATATCGAAACATGAGATGACAGCTGGTTCATTAATATCATAGTGTGCGTGAATGTGTGGGATGTTCACACCAACATGTCCTTTTTTGGAGATGTTAGACTAATAATGCAGGGACCATCTTTCTATATACGTATGCATCACAGCTAAAGGGATTGAGTTTCATTTCAGAAACTGTGATACCGTCTGAAAGATGGATTTAGTAGCCCTGTCCTATATACAGAGTATGATGTCATAGTTCTATATAAAGCATTCTAGAGATGAAATGAGAGGGTTACTCTGTAACTTTTGACTTGTGTGATAAATACACATCCATTCTGCCAAACGTGGCTACATGAATTTTTATCACGCAATGACAATTAAATGATAATTTTTATAATAAACAAATAGGGAGAATATTAAAACGATCAAGCACAAGCGTTAAATAAATCAGAGAATACGAGCTGTAATACATTTGTCATACAAATATAAAATGATAGTTTATTTTATAATTGATAGGAATTTGTTTATTTAACAAGAAACATATATTTCTCGAATATATCTCAATATATATCTATATTTCTGGAAGTGGAGTTTTCAAAATTTTCCAATGAAAGATGATTGAATTTTCCGATCAAAACAATTTGAAGACGAAAACAAATGAAAAATAACACAGAAGGCATTTTTGACATTTTAATTACCTGCTGAGCCACTGGTTCGAGAATACTCTCGATAGTTTTGGTATGGAAGACAGGCATTTTAATTTCTTCTTATTACAATGTAAAACAACGAGGGAAAAGAAAGAGTTTCCTTGTACCAAGTCGCGAGAAATAACTCAAGTAAGAACTCAGAAGGCTTCAGGATGAATAATTAGGTAACACCCATCACGGGCAAGCACGATCTGGCACGATCTGTCAACTACCGTCAACCTCCTCCAGCCTCCAGTCCCGACGTCTCGACCAAAAGACAGACGAATAAGCGCGAAGACGAAAACAGTGCTGTAACTTGCACATCTGGACCCCTTCTTAAGTAAGATCTTATTATTAAAACCTTTTCGTTTTTACAGTAAAAACTCTATATATTACGGGATATTACATTCTGCGAAAATCGCGAATTTGGAAAAGAGAATAAAAAAAAATGTATAAAAATATAAATTCAAAATAAATGTATAAAAATATAAATTCAAAATAAATAGCATATTTAAGTTTTTTCATATTATATATTCATATTATATTGTTTATGTACATAATATTTATTGCATTACGTCTCTCAATACAGTAATTCTTTTTTTCTTTCCTATATATACACATTAAAAAATGTGCATATAAAATCTTTCATCATATTTTCATACTTTCTCCTATTTTTTCTTTCTCATCTTTTTTAATTCATTCTGCTGTACCGCAGCATCGCCGAAAATTTCGGTTACTTTGCGTTTGCGTTCAGCATCGCTCTTAATCTGTTGCGCGATCTGTACTTTAGCTAAAAAGTCTCGATCCCTTCTTATCTCGCGAATAGCGCCCTTGAACTCTCTTTTGCACTTGTGTAGCAATTTTTCTCTTTCCGCTTTTTCTTTCGACATCGGTCTATGGTGCTTTCCATCATATCTACAATAAAATATTAAAATAATATTGTATATAATGTACATTATAAATAATATCTTGATAATGAATCTTTAATATATATTATTTTAAAAAATATAAATTATAAAAAAACTAAATTTTTAAAATAAACTCAGAATGTAAAATTAATAGATTAAATAAGAGAAAAATGTATAAAATAATTACACTGTCATTATTTTAGGCTCGTATGTCCTTAGAGGTTTTGGCCTTTTCTTCTCAAGTACAATATACTCCAATTTTTTGCTTTGTAAAAGTTTGAGATCCTTCCTTAATTGTTTTATGTGACTTCTTATGTTTCGCGGATAGTTCTTGAATTTATTTATTTTTAATAATGTATGAATAGGTTCAAAAATTGAATATACCGCTTCTAGTTCTTGAAATTGATTTTTGAATTCTGTAACCAGATTTATTGCAGTCAATAAAGCTTTTATTCTGAATTCATCATCTAATTCCTCACAGACTAAATCATTTGCAAACATATTTGCGCCATTTGGATCAATTGTGATTTCAGTTTTATCGATCACTAGGACTTTACATGTCGTTCTAAATGGTGGTATAATTTTCACTTTTTGTGTCGACTCTGTTGCTGTGTATATAATTCCTCGTAAAAAATTTATCACAGAAGGTGCAAATCGTCTGCTTAATATTGTATACTGTAAATTTCAAAAATATTTAAAATGGCATACATCTCTTCAATTTTATATTGTAATAACGATTGTAAAAAGATTAGCTATAATTACCTCTAAAATAAGCGTACATATAAAAAGACCTTTTGAAATATCACTTCGATATTTCTTGATATGAGCTTTCAGTAATATTTCTGACATAAATACTAAGCAAGGAGTGACAATAGGATGTCTGAAGTCCGACGTTGGAAATAGTAAAGATACTATTTTAAACAATATAAGCTGAAACCAATAAAAACACATCATATATATGTGTGTGTGTGAGAGGAGTGGTGTGAATGTGCTTGTGTATAAAGATATACTAAAAGTTATATATGCAGGGTGAGTTTTTTAACTTGAAACTGTAAAATATCTTGGAAAGTAAGCTTTATCGAAAAAAATGTTTCAAACAAAAGTTGTAGGGTTTGGAGGGGGCCATATGATAAAAATATGGATTTGACCTTGAGTGATCTTTTCAAGGTGAGATTAATGTGATCGTTTTCTTAAATGGAACCCCCTTTTTTATTATATATTCTTGTAGCTTATCTCGAGAGCTTTTCAAAACACTATAATAAAGTATTTTTTCATTAAGTACTTTTTGAGTTATTTTATATTTTAATCTGACATATTTTGATATAAAAATTAAAATATAGAATAATGATACAAATAATGTAAATATTTTTTGTAATATACCCAATTTTTTAATCATAAATGTTACACAAATATATAGTAAGTAGTATATCATAGAGATTTGTTAATTTTTTTAAATTCATTCTATTTGAAAACTATGAAGTCTATGCATTTTTTTAAACAATTTTTTTATATTTTTGAATTATTTAAGTGTGAAAAATATATATATGTGTTTGTCTTCTTCAAAAATATTTAAATTTATATACATACTTATTATATAATATTTAACAATAAAAAAAATACAATTAGATACGCTTTATATATAATTTCTTACCGTATCCATGCCAGGATATCTCTTTCTATTTTTTGCAAATTTATCATATTTCTCTTTAAGTATTTCTTCTACATAATTTTTGGTATTTGTTGGATTTAAATAAGCTAGATCGTAAAGATAAGGACACAACCTAGAATAAAAGTCATATATAATTAATAAGTAATATATGTATATATGTAATATACTTAAAATTAATAAGAGCATAAATTATTTGTTTACCTGTCACAGATTTGAAAACATTTAACTAGATCATCAGCATTCTCAGTGGAAGCGCAATTATTTATATGTTGTAGCAAATATACAAATAGATTGGACAGTTTTTCTTTGTTTTTGCCATTTAATGTCCAATGATTACATTTTATAATACGCTCTATGATGACTGATTGATAATCTGCGTTATGATTTTCTAACAATTTTTGTAATTCCTCAAAACTATCTGGTGCATTATATGTGTAAGGCAACTCTTTTCGTGCCTTCTCCATGATTTCTTTTCGTCTCAAAAGATCATTTCTTATCTCCTGTTTTTTATCTTTATCAGATGAATCCTGTACAGATGTATTGCTATTGTTCTGTTTCAATATCGATTTGGGACGGATTTGATCCAATTGATTTGTCTGTGTAATCTGACCATTGGTCAAGTTATTAGCAAATTTAACATGTTTTACAACAGTTTTATTTTCTTCATCTTCATTAGTGTCAGATACTTTTAAATCTAAAAAACTGTCTTCAGACTCTTCACCATCCAATTCTTCAATTTCTGAATCTTTGTTATTCAAATCTATCTCAGATTCATTTTTACCATTAGATGATTCTGAACATGTTCTTTCCCGATTTTCACTATTATCCTTTTTTGTCTTTTTTTTATCTTTTTCAGCAATGCTTTCTGATTTATTTCTCTTCTGTTCATCACTAATATCATTGTCATTAATTTCATTGTTATCAATATTACTATCTTCTTCATTACTGATATCATTAGCATCATTGGCAACTGAATTAATGTCATCAGTATCATCAACAACAGCTTCCATCATGAAACCATCATCAAGATCATCAGCAGATTTATGCTTATATTGATTACTAGTATCAGATACAAATCCTTTCATTCTCGCCAATCTGTCAGCTTCAAGCTCTTCCAATCTTTTTTTCTCTTCTTGAATAATTTCTTCTTCCGATTTTAATTTATCAGATGGATTACCTCTAGCTTCAAATATTAATTGTCGTACAGCAGTATCATAAGTATCAGCTTTTACTGGCTCACAATCATCTTTCGCCGACTTCTTGGAAGCAGATATAATAGGCAGGAGATCTCTCCATTCGGAATCAAGTTTCTCTGTCAGATCTATTGTTTGTTCGCGTATCTTCTGTTTCTCCGCCTTACGTTTCTTTGATTCCGCAATGAGCTGATCAATTAGATCTTTTCTGGATAATGTAGAGCCTGCTTTCGATAGAATTCCTCCACCAAAATGAGCTTCCTCTACAAAATTTCTATCTAGTTTGCCACTAATATTTTCATTATCGCTGAATTCGTCGTCGCTCTTGGGATCATCAAACTTCTCGATCTCCTCGAGAGTCTGACCCCTGTGTGTCAATACTTCATCGTCATTTAAATTGAAGATGTTCCTCTTTTTATGCATTTTCATACGTTCCATGGAAAATCTTGCCATCGCTTTATCCTCCATGCTCATGTTGGAATTTCTCTCACCTATACGTTTATCCAGAAAAACATTATCTTTATTTTTTAATTTATACTCTTGAAGTAAACTCTGTTTACGCTTGTTAATAGCTTTTGCCCTCGATACTCCTGGAAGTCCACGATCATTCTTATTCCTTCGGCCCAGTACATTCTGTTTGTCTCGGTTAATATGTACTTCAAACGGATTTAACTGTTTTTTGCTCTTCTGAGCCCGTTTTTGTTGCGCGAACTCGGACAAGTTCTTTTTCTTAATTTTAACCATTTTGTACAACAAACGCTCTGCGTAAACAACAATAATAGATTACACTAACTTTATCGTGCGTAGACCAGTTTAATCTTGTATATTATTTACAATGATATAACCTTCAACGGTTAACAGTCGATCAATCACATGGCATCGGGCATCGTTCGAGGAGAAAAGTGGCAACTTCATGTCGCTGCATGCCTATTGCCAACTTAATAGAGACCAATCGCAGCCAATTTCACTCTATACGTCTAGTTACATCATTGAGTTCTAAAAAGGTACCGTCTCATGATAGTCGGAATTTCGGAAAAATAATAGAGAGAGATCAATCAATCAGAATTATTTGAAATTTACAAAAGATTATCGAGATTGAATTCTTATGTGTATAAGAAAGATTTCATTGTTAATAAATATTGTTCGGTAAGTATTCATTAATATATAAATATTCAATTTTTTATCAATAGTTATTTTTTATAAATATTAGTTATCATTTATCATCAAGGTCAAAAATTGCGTGCTTGTTGAATTAGAATTTTTGTGATTTCCCATAGATTAATATTTCCAGAATTTTTAAAAATCGAAAGATTTATTCTTATCGTTTTATAAAAAAAAAAAATAATTACTACAGTAGAATAATCCGTAAAAAAGTGAAATTTGGATGTATTTTTTTATTATAACAGAAGATAATGAAGAAATTTTCTATATTAAAAGACGGTTTGAGGTTAGAATAGCATTCCGTTTTCCGTAAAAATCACTCCATGGAGAACGAGGCCATCGAAAAATCGGATTGGCAAATTTTCCCGAAATTCCATTTTCCGAAATTCCGACTGTCATGGAATGGCACCCTAAACTTTAGGGCCTAAAGCCCGTATCAGCTTATTATAGGTTTTTGGAATTCATATTTTTTATTGAATATCGAACTTTCATAGATCGAACGCAGTGTAAATTTCCCATTGGGTCAAACATGTAAAATAATATTTGACGAACACACTATTGCAAAGAGATGCTGATTGAAAATAAACGAAATAAACGTCTGCATTTTGCGGAAGGACAACGATGACGTTTCTACTGAATGAGTAATTGGTATCGAGTCAACGCGTTTCAATGTGCCTTTCTCTAGAGTTCTTTTTATTCTCCTTTCGGGTATGTAAGTCGACAACGTGATTGAACACTCCTTTCAAGGAAATTAATTTCTCTTTCTTTCTCTTTCTCTCTCTCTCTCTTTCTCTTTCTCTTTCTCTTTCTCTCGCGTTTGTAAACCGAAATTTCCTGCGTTATACATATAAATAGAGCGCGAATAGGGATAGGACGGATGAATAACAAAAATCGTCTGACAATAGTGTTAACCGAATATTTGAGCAGGACATGTGTATATTATAGACTTCATTGAGAAAATCTTCGGTATTCTAGTCGCGTTCGACGAAATGTATACAAACGTTACGAGAGTCGCTGTTTTTCTTTTCTTTTTTTTTTTGCACTCCCTTTAAAGCGTCGATTTCTTACATCGTCATACGTTGATTGATATAGCATTGAATCCGGAGAAATTTGAAAAATACTAACAAAACTAGTTACAAAATTTTACCGGTTGTAGGTCTGTATTTTGATAATTTTACAAATTTTGTGCATTCTCGGTCGTCCAACGAGAAATCATCGCACGCGCGCGCGTCTTACGTATGTCGCACGTATTGCTCAACGAATTGTAATGATACTACTGATTATCAAGGTGAAAAGTTAGACGCTTTCTATCATTTTACATATATTAATTGTATATATTTTGTTCGATTAGATTTATGTCGTCGACATTGCGTAAAGTATCGAGATAAACGTTGGTAATAGAATTTGTAGCGATAAATAACATTTTGATGAAGAAATCGAATTGTTTATAAAATTGTTTATAAAATTAAAATTGTATAATGGTATTTGTGTTGATGCACAGAGATTTGCATATTAATGATTTTTGCATAATGAAGTGTGTTGAAATACAGAAATTTTTGTTGGTTAAAACCTGTCTATAAAACAGAGTCGTGCATAATTATTGTGTAAAGAGATGAGAAAAATATGAACAAATATTGAAAGTGTAAAATATTTAGATATATGAATAACTTTTTCCCTTACTCTTCAGAAAAAAGATATTGAAACTAAAAGTTTATTTGTGAAATCGCTGTATCATTTTTTTGTTTTAAGTAGCCTGTATAAAAATTATGTTTATAGAGAGTATAATGTGGCAATAATGTGTATTAATAATTAATTACTTTTTAATGATATTTTTAAGATGGTGATGAGCTTGTGAATGTCTTGCTTTGCTGAAACACGATGTCAGACGATAATATGCCACATATCTCGTATGGACTCGACAGTCGTGGAAGAATAGTGCGTATAGAATCAGGTATAACCAGAGCAAACATCAGACGTCTTCCAAGTATAGAAGAAGCTTTAAGGAGACTTAGTACAAATCTGAGAGTCGATAGACAACCAAGTGATCCCATTAATGGTAATGTATAGCTAAATAGGAATTCTCCACAAGGAAGATTTGTAATTAAAATACACTTAACTTCAATCAAACTTGTCAATTAATTTGATTGATAATTAATTCAACTAAGATAGAATTGTTTATACAGCAAAATTTTGAAATATGTAATTTGTTTTTCTTAATCTAATCTTTCTTTCCATGTGTCAAACAAAAAATTATTAATTCTATCCAAAATGCAAATATTATTTGATTAGTCAATTGTTGAATAAGTTAACTAGAGTTTGATTGAAATAATTCTCACTATATTTATTGCTATTTCTATATATATTTCTTTTCTTTTTTATAGCAGAAGTATCTGATCCTCAAGTAGCACGTATGGCATCATTGGAGGATGAAGGTTCTCAGAATGCATGGGATGATCTAACAGATCAGGAACTGTCTGCTGATATCACTGATGGAGCATCCTCTCCAAATCAGATCACATCTAGTGTGCCATCATTGACCCCAGAAGAAGAGTAAGTTCATGTTTATATTATCTGAAACATTATTCAAGAGTATAGCACTAAGTGTATGTTTGATTAATGATTTTGATTTGATATTTTCACATACTTATATATTTTTATCATGTATCTCCCAATCTTTTTATTCTTCAAACTTATAGCAAATTGGATGTTCAATTATTGTATAACTGTTTTATTTTGATTTATAACATTAACCTCTTTATCTAGCAGGCGATACTGTTGGGTATGTTTTGCAACTGACGAAGATGATGCAACTGCAGCATGGGTTAAACCATGTCATTGCAGAGGCACTACAAAGTGGGTTCATCAGGGTTGCATACAGAGATGGGTTGATGAAAAGCAGAAAGGTCATGCAGGGCATGCTGTGGCCTGCCCACAATGCAACACAGAATATATTATAGTTTATCCAAATATGGGTGAGTACATACTAGTCAATAACATTTATATGATTTAGAAATATAAGGATCTCATTTATATCCTTTGTGCATGTAGTGTATCGTACGTGCAAATCAATTGCAGGTCCATTAGTGGTAGTACTTGATACGATCGATGCAGTTATCTTCCGAGTATGTCCTTTCATTGCTGCTGGTATAGTAGTCGGATCCATATATTGGACAGCTGTGACTTATGGTGCAGTTACTGTTATGCAAGTGGTGGGTCACAAGGATGGCCTTACTATGATGGAACAGGCCGATCCTTTAGTCCTATTAGTTGGCTTACCAACTATCCCTATTATGTTAGTTCTGGGAAAAATGCTTCGGTGGGAGGATCAAGCTCTCAGTTTTTTAAGACGTCACGCGTCCAAGGTTCCTATTTTAAGGCATTTTCTACCGAGTAGGTTTGTATCAATGATATTATTCTCAATACAATCCATATTTTATATTAAAAAAAGAAGTCGTCTTTATGTATGTCCTAGAATAACTTTTTCAATTTTTATTTTTGCAAACTAATATTTGTTGCATTTTTCAAATGGTATATATCACATAAATAGTATTACATATATATATGCCTTTGAAAGTTATACAATATACAAAACCGGTTGTTGTCTACAAAAAGAGAAAACAACCAAGAATATAAAATAAAAATTATATATATAAAAGTTGTAATTAAATATATAGAAATTAATAATTAGAGAATAAAAATTATGAAAGAGTCATTTCAAATTATCAAATTTATTAATGATTATTGCAGTTATTCTGATGAGGATACAAGTATGCAATCTGAAGATATACCACCAATGAATGATCCAGTATCCGCAACGCGTGTTCTTTGTGGTGCGCTTTTATTACCAACTATCGCCAGCTTATGTGGAAGATTATTTTTTGAAAGCATAAACTCCAACTTTCAAAGAACATTGTTGGTATGTATCGCCTAAATTACAATACTGCGAAAATAATAGAATATTTTCGGATGAAATGTACACAATAACTTCATATCATTAAAATTTAGTAATATTTCTTATAATATCTTTCTTAAATTGCTATTAATCATAATCCATTAAGTTGTACAAATAGTCGTATCATATATGGGTATATATGGGTATATAATGATATATATTTTTTTATTTACTAATATCCACAGGGTGGTGTAGCCTTTATAACAATAAAAGGCGCATTCAAGATTTACCACAAACAACAACAATACAAGAGACAATGTCAGCGTC